CGTCATTTGTCAGCCGGTCGTCATTGCCACTCATGGGGTGATGCCAGACAGTAGTCTTTCATTCGTCGTTTATCAGTCGGCGGTCGGTTGTCACTAGTGGGGTAATGTCAGTAAGTTGTCTGTCGTCCGTCATTTGTCAGTCGGTGATCAATTGTCACTCGTGGGCTGATGTCAGTCGGTAGTCCGTCGTCTGCCATTTGCCAGTCGTCGACTAATGTTAGTCTGGAACGTAGCCGTTGTGTCCAGAGCTTGCTAGGGTAGCAGTTGTGCCGTCCGTGCAGCTGACGATGCTACAGTTCGAAGTAGCAATGGTCACTTATTGTCTTTTAGCTGTTCCAGGGAGCGTTTAGTGGTCCAAGGTGGCACCTCTCACACTGAAACTAGTCGGGGTCCTGACAAGTATTTCAGCTAAAGGGGGCATACCATGGCTAGGGCCTAAGCCTCGTTTATGAGCGCGAACTACAGCGACAGGGTAAACACAAAGACTGCGCACGACGGAGGAGAGACGGGCGCATGCGCAGACGCTGCCATCAGCTTCAGCCGCAGGGCATTGTCCGTGCGAAAGATACTCTCACATATTGGACCGTCGCGTTCTACATGCGATAACTCTACGAGACCACAGGAACATGTTAGGTCACACAGGTCTAAAATATATTATTCAGCAGCGAGCAAAGTTTACATTAACATATGTGCATCCGCGAGGTATGGGGCAACTGTGACCGGCGTATGTACATTTGAAATCTATGCACACTTATATGTGCATCGATTTTGTTCAAGTGGATGGCTTCACGCGATTGCGGCTTAAATTTTGTATTTGGACTTTCCCCATACACGCGAGTTTGGCATACATCTGCACAGTTCAAGTTTACACGGGTACGGGTGCACACTGAAATAAATTAGCGCTGATGAATCGAAACACGTTAGTCGGTAACAGCCAAATAAATCGCATTGAATTACAAGCCCTTTTTGGTGCACCTGCCCTGAAACCAGTGCATTCTTTTCATGTCTGTTAAAGCGCGCTTAAATCGCTTCATAAAGCAACGGCGGCAATAATGAGAAAACTAATTATACTGAGAATCACGCACCGGAAAGTTGCAGATTCTAATAAAATATGGGGCGGTTTCCCGATAATCATCACACGCAGTGGTAGTCCCATGGCTACAGAAGATATCCATAGGTCATGTATAGCTACAACCAATATAGCTACAACAGTTGAGCTTCTTCCATCACATTTGCTGTTTGCCTCTACACCTTCCAATGTGGAGTATTCCCTTTAATTTTACCCCGCGGTTTGGGGATTTTAGAAGTTCGTCGACTGCGGTGGTCATTTTGCACCCATTTGATTCATTTAAGCTCACCCATCGAGTAGTGATTTGACAAGCGTCGTAATATATCAATACACAAAGTCCAACGGAAGATGTTGGTGACTCATGAAGAAGGATGCATGGATAGGAAATCAAATGGATAATCACTCGATATAAATTTTCATATTTCACATGGTCCGTCACGCGTGCACGAGCCAGCAAGATGGAGTAGGCCATTTCCGACCTTTTTTACTTGTCCTGTCACATTTCGGCAACCAGGGCAATTAGAGCCATGAAGTGAGTTGCGAAGAATACATAGATAATTTTAAATTCATTGTTTTTTAACTTAGCGCAGGGAAACGTTGGTAACTCATGGTGCCTGACTAATAATAATTTAATCACTTTACTGATCGGGTGATCAGGAGGGTGCCATCTGTACGCTGACGTATTCGTTATGGCGTATTTAGCATGGTCTCGTTAAAACCTGGTTATAGAATATGCATTTAACAGGGTTTCATTCACAAATAGGATGTTTTCAACACCATTTCAAACTTACGGATGCGTACTCTTCTAAAAGCATCTGGAAAAGGACAGCGTTAGTACAAGCAATATGAGCCACGTGTGTAAATAAGTATTTGCAACGGCTGACAAGGAGTGTTCGCATTTTTTCAAGGCCGGTGCCGTAAAAAAAAATTGCGCCGTGAAAACGATCTAGATCTGTATGTATTGTTGAATCTTCTTGTGCTATACGCGGGGGAGCCTGGCGCTTTTACGATGCATACAACAAATATCATCCATCCGGCAGCAAAACGTTGATAAACAGACTTTCCGTAGCATTTAACTAAATCTAAGAAACAAATATTCCACAAATGCATTAAATACAATAGGACCCTGACGTGAAGCTTCATCAAACCCTTTCAATCGCAAGTTCAATTCGTTTTTGGGAAGTTAATTCTCTTACAATACATTCCCTGTCTAAAATAAATCCCCGGACACCCCTAACCGACGAATTTTCGTAGCCATCCACTTTGAACAGCCAACATTCTACAAGTGACGCACTAAGTGTGCGGCGATGAACAGCTAGGCTGTACAGGGGACAAATTTGAGCTATGCATTGGCATATTTGTACAGCGAGCATGGTCGTGAAAGTGACATTAAAATAGAGTACAGTAAGTGTCGGAGACTTCTGCAAGTTGCATGTATGCATAAAGGTAAGCATCGCCATGAATAAACATGCGCGAATTCCAAGTCAAGAATAGTGTACGCATCGAAACATGGCATATTGGACGCTGAGGCTGTCGGCGTTAATTTGTATAACACAGATACATTGTCTGTCTGTACAGCGCACAACCATCAGTTGCACAACATTTACATTTTCACGCTTAAACACTTGCGAGCTGTTGTGTATGACCACCACATGGGCTACTTATAATATTCTCGTGGTGCCGAACGCCGCGGAGGGCAACGGACCCATACGTCATGGAAAGAACTGCAGGCGCCATATGGTCAAGGCAGAATTCGTGCTCCAAAATGACAGGCATGCCAGCACACCAATATGCCAATACTTCCATCAGGAGATATGTGCCCACAGTGAGATCAATTCTTTGGTGTTTCCTGACGGTACTATATCGGATATAAATATTTCTCCAGCGACAATCCTAGTGTTCAGGTAGCACGTCTTAAAGCGAGCGAATTCATAACCCACCTAGCTGACGTGCCTTGCGCAAACCTAGCCTGAAAACCGATTTGAACGCTCCACATGACATTGAAAAAAGAAGATCTAGCAGCATGACAGACAGCCGTAATTCGGTCCAGCCTCGCGCCGCGCCATAACTCCATGCTAGCAACTTGAAACAGGTAGCGGATTTCCGTTACGACTTACACGTGCCCTTCTCGACCCAGGAGACACGCTTGCGGAGCGACTCAAGCGCCGCCTTGGTGGCCTTCATCAGCACCTCCAGCACCTTGCGGTGATAGAGGCGCCGCATCTCCTTCCCCGCCTTCACCATGTGCAGCCGCATCTCGGTCCGCCGCTTCTCCAGCTGAACGCGAGGTCAGGACGGTAGGTGAGCACAGACCCCACCAGCCCGGTCCATAGAAACCGGTGTCGCGTCTCGTATGTGCCGGACTGTTTCGACGCGCGAAAATGTTTTGGTGCTTTGCGTGCCCTTTTTGAAGTACCGGGGATCACAAGCAGCTTACCCCGCGGAGCCATAGACAGTAATTCCCAGACACATGAATAAAACCCTCGCGTGTCAGTTCGGGTCATACTACCGACAAAGTATTTCGAGGTTTGTTGTAGCAGGTTACGGTTGCTGTAGATAAAACTGTCATCGAGGGAAACGAAACAATGTTTAATGAAAACAATTAACACAAAAACAATTATCCGTAATGTTTTTCCCATTTACAGCCGTTTTTTAAAATAAGCGAAAACGCTGGCGTTTCCGGCTAACAGTGTAAAAGCAAGCAGTCATTACGTAGGTTATTTCACCACCATAAGTTTGAACCCATTAAAACCCAACAACATTTGAAAACCCCGTAACTCCGTGTCAATCGCCTGACATATAGGTGATGTGTCAAAGCCCGAATTGAAAACGATACCCTATCCTGAGGCCAGTACTCCGCCCCCGACCTCCGCCCCGAGCTCGAGAATCCTGAGCCCTGGTCGGTCCGCGACCGCCCAATCTTCACCCCAGAGCCCTGTCCCTAGTCACGTACACTGCCTCGAACCCGTCCCGGTCTCTGCCCGATCTTCACCCCAAAGCCCTTGTCCCTAGTCACGTACACTGCCTCGAATCCGTTCACGCTCTTACCACCGGGTCCGTCTCCCTCCCTCCCTCTCTTCTCTCTCTCGCTCTCTCGCTCTCTCGCTCTCTCTCTCTCTCTCTCTCTCTCTCTCTCTCTCTCTCTCTCTCTCTCTCTCTCTCTCTCTCTCTCTCTCTCTCTCTCTCTCTCTCTCTCTCTCTCTCTCTCTCTCTCTCTCTCTCTCTCTCTCTCTCTCTCTCTCTCTCTCTCTCTTCTCTCTCTCTCTCTCTCTCTCTCTCTCCTCTCTCTCTCTCTCTCCCCCGGGCCAGTCCTGGTCTCCCCTCGGACCAGTCTCGCTCTCTCCCCGGACCAGTTCCGGTCTCTCCTCGGACCAGCCTCGGGTCTGTGCCCGGACCAGTCTCGGGTCTCTCCCCGGACTCGTCTCGATCTCCCTCAGACCCGTCTCGCCCTCTGCCCTGTGCCGGCTGACCTCCTCGGGGGTGAGCTTCGCGGTCGGCTGCCGGGCACTGCCCAGCTCTGATGAGCCGGTCGCCGGTGGCACGGGCGTGGCCGGGCCCGACTGCGGCTGGCCCAGCGAGCTGGCAGAGGCTGGCGGCGGGGGGGGGGGGGGCGGCGCCGTGTGAGAGCGAATGTTGAACCCGACGGCGTGCACACTGGCTTATCATACTAACCATTACACGCCGGTGGTAGCTTGAACAAGTTCATATGGTTGTGCAAACACAAGGAAAGGCCAAACACGTTGGAAACACATTGGCAGCTGAACAGCGGTCGCAAGTGACAGGAGCTTGGCTTACGGTTGCCAGCAATTTCGGAAATGGTTTTGTTTATGTTCTTAATCGTTACAACAAAAATGTACACAACACGTTAATTTTGAGAGTAACTGGCTAGGCCCAAGTATGGTTCATGGCCGCAGGTTTGGCACACAAATGTTGATGTTGCGTGGGTGTGGCAGAGTTGGTGGGTTTTTCATAGTGAGTACAGGTATAACAACACTGCTACTACACAGCCCAATGTGAGTGACGACAAACACCAGCACATGGGATATTTTCTACCCATGTTGTGTGTGAAATATGGGAGTAACTTTGCTCGGACATTTTTGAGGAAGCTTACATATTTCTGCCTGCTCCCACCTTCTACCTTTCTCACTAAGTCCATGGAGGCGTCATGAAGGCTGTATATACCTTGGCTATTTGATTAACCACTTGCATAAACATATATGTAATTCGGTATGAATTTTGCCAGTCGAGCCAGGACCCGGGATATCAGTCTCAACAATTAATCCATTGTTCCAGATTGCAGATATCATCAGTGTGCTCAACCTACCACCGAACTCTATGGGTCGTAATCAGATTTGCACTAAATGAGCACCCAGATGTCATATTCCGGCAATGACGTTACTGTTGGAATCTTATTGCCACTTTTTCAAAACACTAAATTTGCTCACCATTCACTTAAGCTGGTGGCAGTCAGGCACCATGCTCACAGCTAGCAGAGTTCATTGGTGCATGGCCTCAGCTTGTATTGCTTATTTTTGGGATGATGAGCATTTCAGCATGTGTCAGGCATGTTTCGGAGCCTAGATGTCGTCTGTAGTATGTACTCCTGATGAATCGCTACTTAGCACAATAATGAAAGCATACCCTGTGGGCGGATGTGTTCAGTTTGCATTACTTATTTGAAGCGGAAGATGTCCATTGTATTGCACAATAATCCAGTTTCCCAATTATGGTGATCTTTTCAGATTCCCAGCTTAACAAGGCCACTTACAGGAGCGGCTTGATGCATGTGGCACCAGTGTTGTGGCGCCTGGGCACGGAGTTTGCGAGGCACATTTTTCATTGGAAGCTTTTTCTAGTCAAGCAGCCGAAAGGAAAGGACGAGGGCCAGTGCTGTGTCATCTCTGCCGGTCTGTGAATGCGAGGGTATTTTTTTATTTTTTTCTGTCCGACCGTTCTTATTTAGCCTTGGCATTGAGGCTTGAACTCAGTTAACATTAGAACACATGTGGAATTTTTGTGATCATCTTTTGTCTCATTTATTTTCATGCCTTCTTTTAGTCATGATTCATTCATGCATTTCAGTGTGGTGCCTGTAAGCAAATGCCTACGAGAAAGTATACTGTGAAATGCATGGCAAGGCATTTAGTCATTTACAGGGCACAGTATTGCTTTCAGTGTAGCATTGAGTTAGATTTGTGATGTGTTGGTCTGGATCGGAATCCGGAGTGACAGCCGTCCCTGGCCGTGGCTGGGAAATGACAGCTGTCCCTGACCGGGGCTAGGGAGTGACAACTGTCCCTGGATGGGGCTGGAGAGTGACAGTCGGCGGACTGCCCGTTAGATTGAGTCGGGCGACGACTCTCAAGAGGGGTTTGGCTGGAAGCTGGTGTACGGCGATTTATTCCGACCGCCTCGGCACGGCATGCTGCTCTCCGTGCAAATGAATTCAGGTGTCCAGGTGCTCTCCATGACGCTCATCACACTCGGTGGATGACTTGCGGCCGCTATGGTGGCCCTCGCGCCTGAGCCGTATTCGGGCCGGCCCCGCGGTGGTGGTTGTCCGTGCCTTGGTTGACACTACAATGACAGTCTTCACGCCTGGCGCTCTTTCAAGATGTGGCATTATTACCGGGACGGTGCGGCACCCGTCATTTGATGGGGATTACTGTGATTTGGTGGTCCGCGCAGTGGGACGAGCAGGGGGCCTAGGTCTTTTGTTGTTGCTGTTAAGGCCGTTTTAATTTTTGAGAAAGTGGATGCATAATGGAATGACGTAAACATACGCCGTTCATCGTGTATTGAAAATTAATGCAAGAAGTTAACATCTACTACAAAATTCACTCAATGAACTGCTTTTTGTCCTGCCTGTGTTGCGTCGCTGACCTGTACCAGCACCGGCGCTGGCTTCTGACCGCCTGCACCAGTATCGACGCTGACCTCTGACCCTCCATATCAGCGTCTTGTGTTGGCCTCTGACCGGCCCCTGCAGTGTTCGCGTGCCTGGGCTTCCTGTCGCCGGTCAACCGCGGCTCGCTGATGACCTGGAGCCTCGTGCTGTGCGTCTGCCTGGGTCCGCCCGCCGGCTACGTGTCTACCCAAATTTACAAGTCGGGAAGTGGCGGCGAAAAGTGGGGACTCGACGTACCGCTGACGTCGACGCTGTGCCAGGGGTATGCAGTGCCCAGCTGCCACCGCGCTGCCGGCATCGGGCCGTCGCTCTCTCCGGACAGTGTGCGCCGGCGCGGATGGGCCAGCGCCGGGCCGCGCCCACCCGCCGCGCTGGCTCAGAATTTGCACCGCTCATGCGTGCATCCTATTTGTGTGATTTCGGCGTCGCTGTAGATTTAGAACTTGATGGAAACACACTTGAGCGTGACGTGCTCCAAGCTTGGAAAATTGCCACGTTTGAATCGGCTGATGATGCGTTGTGTGCGGGAGGCTGTGCCGTTGAGTCCTGCTCCCAATCGCAGTGGAGTGGGTGAACGCGGCCAGCGAAATCGTGGTCATTGGCAATGCCTGTGCCCCACAGAGGAGAAATCACTGTGCGCAGGGGTCGGGTGAGACGTCTATTCCGCTGGATGACGTGGTTATCGTGAGTGGGGCCGGGCCGCTGTGGAATGCGTCGATGGTGCTCCCACTGAGCCCCCGTTTGCCGCCCGTCCGCAGGATCGTGTTCAGCATCACGTTGCTGCTGAACTGCGTGCTGTGGGCGTACGACTCGTCGGCAGCGCTGCCATTCCCCACCATACTGACGCTGATCGGGCTCTGGTTTGGAGTGTCAGTGCCGCTCACTTTCGTTGGCACCTACTTCGCCTTCAAGAAGCACGTGCTGGAGCACCCTGTGAACGCTGGGCGCGGACTGAGGGTGGCCGCGCGGCGCCACCGGCGGCTATCCTCGGGCGCTGGGTGCGGACTGAGGGTGGCCGTGCGGCGCCACTGACGGCTGTCCTCGGGCGCTGGGCGCGGACTGAGGGTGGCCGTGCGGCGCCACTGACGGCTGTCCTCGGGCGCTGGGCGCGGACTGAGGGCGGCCTCGCAGCGCCACCGGCGGCTGTCCTCGGGCGCTGGGCGCGGACTGAGGGTGGCCGTGCGGCGCCACTGACGGCTGTCCTCGGGCGCTGGGCGCGGACTGAGGGTGGCCGCGCGGCGCCACTGACGGCTGTCCTCGGGCGCTGGGCGCGGACTGAGGGCGACCCCGCAGCGCCACCGGCGGCTCCCCTGGGGCGCGCTGCATGGTTTGGCCGCTGTAAGGAGCGCACTGAATACGCCAGCGCAGCAGTACATGTATCACCTGTTAGCACAGCAATGTGTAGTCTTGGGTTTGACTATTTGTGGTATTCAGGACAGTGGCTGGTAGTCAGGAAATAGTTGGTGGTCTTGTGACCATGTAAAAAACAGTATTTAACTAACTATGGCATCGTCGCGCCCTTTAAGAGCTTGCACTCAACCCAAAAATTTCTTATTTTATTTTCCCAGAACGAGCAAAAAATTGTGATTACAACGAGCACCCTTAAATAAATGCAGTGAATGTGCCTGGCGGTGGCTCACAGCAACATTTGTCCGCCTCAGTTTGTATGTCTGCCTTAGCACACGCGGCGGTGGGTGAGCGGGAACAGCGGTGTTGCTCGCTATTTTGCCCATGGCTGGGATGGCCTGCATCCGGTGGCAGTGGCCGCTCGAGGCCAGTTGAGGTCAGGGGGCGGGCTGGAAGCTGCCGAGCAATATGGGACGTGAAGGAACGTCATAATTTTTCTACAAACGGTATTCCTACGATCGGGTGTGCTCAAGGCGCATGCCCGGTTCCGTCATTTTGGACACTGATCACAGAAATTCCTTCATGGAAAATAGTTTGGACAGTTGAAGAACGTCATTATTTGGCGGCTTGGTGTAACTAAGTGGCGAGAGTTTTTCTGGAATATGATGTTTATGCTTGTGTTTATTTTGCTTTTTGTCAGAACAATTCTTTTCTGGGAAACGTGTTGTCAGCAACGGAAGTCCACTATGATGGATGCCAATGTGAATTAGTTATGACTCAACTTTGTTGCATGGTTCCAGGACGTCTCGAGTTACAGTCGTATCTCCGACCAGTGCATCTTGTGGCCGGTGAAGGTGTTGAGTACCCTTCCGCACGTGCGCCCGCTCCAGGAGGCCATCGTGGACAAACGTATGCAGGTCACCATCACTGGTCCGTCCGAGCACTCCGGTGTGGCACACCCAAATGTGCGCCGCGGACATGGGCCGGACGAGAATCGAGAGAGCCTGGCGGACAGCCGCATCCGGCTCGCCGATTCCAGTAGTTTACATTTCTCATGACTAGCTAGCCCCGCTTTGCTCACCCTGGCGGGCGTCAGGCATTGTCCATTGAGGATGGATGCTCCTGGTGGAATGTCGCGTGATATTTGTTGGGGAGTGAAATGTTAGTTTTAATTATCGTTTGATGCAAAATGTGTCTTGCCAAAGATGTGTTTGCATCTTTGCTACCCACGTTTTGGGGATTCACAAAACAGGCTGAAGGAGTGAAGTCACTCATTGGTCGTGTGCTTTACTGAAAGTGATTGGTATATTGTATACTTTGTTTTTGGCCAGTCGTATGTCAGATTCAGAGTTAATACAAGAATGCACACTTGACCCATATTCTCATGATGGAATTTAGTACGAAAGCAGCGGGGGATTGCAGTACAAAAACCATATCATTGTTTGTTACGCCATTCCACAGTGCGGCACTGAAGTGGACCACAATGGCACTGTTGACCAATGCCATTTTACAATGTACTTCATTGGCTGACTGCTCTATGTCAAGCCCGCGAGAAAACAGTTTATAATTTATGAATGTCTTAACTGCTGATTTAACGCTGCCAAAGGACTATTGCGAGCCGGAATGCCGTGGCACCACAATGATTGTATCAGGGCTTATTAGTGATTGTATAAATAATCCTGTGCAAGAAAAGCATTCTTGGTGGCTCAACCCTACCATCTTTACCGTAGCAATAACAATGATCTGGTAATCAAGTCATGACACTGTTACAGATTCATTGTTAATTTTTGCATGTGACTGCACTTCCAGTTACAAATAATATAGAAAGGAAATACTGCGTGCATCACAAGACATCAATGTCACGACTACTGCACTGCAGGCAAGGACAGTTCAGATATCCTCAACAGTCCTCGGCAGGTTTCGGTTAGAGATCCACGGTACTACATGACGATTTTAACAGCATATCGTGCTTTTTATCGTGCGGATTTTTAATAATCTGACATACAAGCCGACGATCACTATGTTGCGTATGTTAAACCGTCCACCAAAGTTTGTCCTACGACCAGTGCCATGACAAAAATCCACAACCAAGCCATTCACTGGCCGGCCAGCCGACAGAGCACTCGCCACCAGAATGGCCGGCGGGCGTTAGCTTAAGCGCGTTTCGAGCAAGGCTATCTAACGGTTTCGAAGTATTCTTTAGGTCTGGCTGCCAGATGCTGCCAGGTATTGCTGTCGTCACAAAACATTCCATGACGCCACCAAACGATGACGTGATGGGACGCATTTTTACAAACATCGAAATTTTGCTACTTAGAGTCGTTTTTGAGCCTCGAAAATTTACCAATAGTTACAAGTAAGCTTTTCCCATCATATCATATGCTTATCTCAATATCTTTAAATGTGGAACATCCCCTTTCAAAGTTGGTGTAATTGCTGACGGGTAGGTTCCGGGCAGGCAGGAATGATTTCGGACGAGTAGGACCGCGTGGCCGCGAACCTTCGACCAGCGAGTAGGAGAGCGCATAGGAAATACAATATGAGGGTGGAGGCAATTCGCCCATGGCCACAAATGCCTCTGCGGGCGGACGGGCAACCGTCGGAGGGCGGGCGGGCGGAGATCGGAGGGCGGGCGAGCGGAGTTCGGAGGGCGGGCGGGAGGAGTTCGGAGGACGTGCGGGAGGAGTTCGGGGGACGTGCGAGCGCCCGTCGGCGACTCACAGGACGTGTCGTCGGAGTCGGCGTCGGTGTCGACGAAGCCACTAGAAGATTGGTCGAGCCGAGTCGGATCGTGGCTGTGCACGAGCTCGACAAGCTCCGCCACGCCCTCCTCGATCGTGCCGCTCAGGCTGTCCAGCTCCTGACGGCCGGCACCGCCACGGTGGTCACCGGCCGGCTGGGTTCTCCCGTCCCCGGTATGCACGCCAAGGGCGGTCAGCCACCTTACGACATCTTATCGCAATCATTGGACACCGCCTTTGGGTTCCTGCATTGATCTTAAAGGGGTGAACTCGAAAATGAAGGCCATTCGATGTCGAATGAAAATATTGCTGACCAGTGGGTCCACACGCCAGAAATGGCCACTTCGGCGGCGATAAACGTACGTGTTCGGGACTTCACGCGCGCCTCCCAGTAACGTAGGCTACAGCCAAGACAATAGGGAACTGATTCTTCTTCATGAGGGCGAGGCGTGAATTTCGAGTTTCTGATTAAGCCCCTTTCAAAACTGACGACTGTAGGCCCTAGCCGCCGCCCGCCCTGGCTCACGGCTGTAGCGTGGCGCCCCGCTGGTGAGACAGCCAGCTTACCTGTGCCGAGACGACGCCCAGTTGGTAGGTGCGCACCAGGAACTCGTCGAGCGTCCAGGGCTGGCCGTCTGGCAGCGTGCACAGCCGCACTCCGTACATCCGCGCCAGCGTGTCCTCCACGCGGCTGCCGTAGATGTCCACCAGCCTGGCCGGGCGCCGGGCGGGAGCAGGGTCAGTCAGACGCCTCCACAGGAGCCAGCCCGGGCGGTCGGGCCAGGTCAGGCGGGTGGGTACCTTATCTTTAGCTGAGGACGAGCTAGTCCGGAACGGCCAACAGCGACCACCTGACGGTGCATCTAGAACAGGCAGAGGGCTTTGGTGCAGCTGGTCTGAAGATGAGCGAGCTTAGGAAGCTCCGCGGATTTCAGCGCTGGTCATGTATTCCAAAACCAGAACACCAACGACTCCATTGATTACCGCGTGGAGGGAATGAATAGCCATGTACAGCCAAGCTTTGATGAAGGATGACCCTGTAGGAGGACAGGCGTTCGTATGAAGTCAGCCAGCCGAACGCAGGATAAGTAGCTGGGAATGACGGCTTGATGCCCTCTACGACGAAGCCATACGACCTTGCAGCGACATGGCCACATAACAGTGCAGAGGAGTTATTTATTTTTCCACCGGTCGCTTTCAATCGATCTTTTTTCAGCGATCGCTACAATGGCTGGCGTTGGCCACACAGGCCTGTGTGAGAGGCGAGCTGATCATAAGATAGCATCCAATGTCCGTTCTGCCAAGTCGGACCTGACTATTTGGGAACGCCGCACATGCCACGTAAGGGTGCCCCGGTGCACACCTGACGATGAGCACCTCCAGGTCCCGGACCGCCTGTTGGATATCCTTGACGGTTTCGCAGAGCCGCGGCGAGGTCCACGTGAGTCGCGCGAGCCGCGTGTCCAGCAAGCCACGCACGTGCAACACATGCGGCACGAGCAGCGGCTGCAGGCCGGTCAGGATGCGACCTTGCACGGCGGCGAAGTAGTCCAGCAGGTCCTGGCGGCAGCACACAAAGGCTCATTCGCGAACATGAACAGAAGAGACTTCCGTTGGTCAATGCTGCCGGTATCGGCGCAAGGAGACATGCCAAGGAGATTTCGATGCACCCGCAGATGGCGAAGTGGGGCAGGCTTGGCACTAACGCAGTGACAGATGTGCACTGCTTCGCCGCACCTACGGGGCACATCCGGTCCACGCACTCGTGTCGGAGGCTGCCGTACCTGGACCGAGTTGACGACGTCCACCAGGTACTGTCGGCGGGAGAGCAGCGCTGTGGCGACGATCGGCACCTCCAGGCCCATGCGCAGGATAACCTCCACCTCGCGCAGCAGCACGCGCACCTCGTGGCTGAAGTTGAGCCTGAACTCCTGGCCGTCCGTC